TACGGACGGATCGCGCCTAACTGACAAACAGGACTCAGGCGCAGGAATTTACTTAGAAGGATTAGGCATAAGGGAGAGCTACGCTCTTGGAAAGTATACCACAGTTTTCCAGGCCGAGGTCTTTGCCATTCTGGCAGTAGCGGAGAGGCATGAGGTGAAAGAGGGACCAGAGCAGAAGATTTACATCTGCTCGGATAGTCAGGCGGCTCTCAGGGCTGTCTGCCATCCTAAACCAAGCTCAGCCTTGGTGCAGGAATGTGGCGATGCTCTTGAGAAACTAGCTGAACAGAAGGAAGTCGAACTAGTATGGGTTCCGGGGCACAGGGGGGTGCCCGGGAACGAGGTGGCCGACGAGCTGGCTAGAATCGGATCCGCGACACCGTTCTGGGGGCCGGAGCCTGCACTGGGCATAACAAGAAGCAAAACTTCGTCTGCCCTTAACAAATGGGCGGACGAGGCACTAGAAGTATATTGGAGGCGTATAGGCGGCTGCAGGCAATCGAGAGACCTGGTGGCCGGTCCTAGCAAGCCAAGGACGGCTTGGTTGCTGGGCAGGGATCGCCAAGTCCTGCGCCTTCTTATAGGGATACTAACAGGGCATAACAGGTTACGCAGACACCTATCACTCATAGGTGTGGAAGATAGTCCCACTTGCCGCGAATGCGGAGAAGACGAGGAGACATCACTTCACTTCCTCGGAGAGTGTGAGGCGTATGGAAGGATGAGATTCGAAATCTTTGGAGTAGATAAACTACAACAGGAAGACTTGGTCGAATTAGAGTGGACGGACATCCTGACCTTCATCAGAAGGACGGGAAGATTCGAAAAGGACAACTAAAAGAGGGATGTGTAGATATGTGGAGAGCAGGGGTTGGCAAAAAGGGCCCATGGGGGCCTACTTGCCTGGCTACAGCCTCCCCACAATACTACTACTACTACTACTTGTGCGATCCAAGAGATAAAACAAAGTTATTGTTGAACATTCAGAAATAAATGATTTCGTGAATGTTTGCTCGATTGAGGACCATAAAGTTGAAATATAAATATCTCATATATTTTACAATACAATGCGCGAAGTAGATACTTCGCGCACTGTTTTACTTTGCGCATTGATTTGTGCAAGCTATTATGGTTACGTAGGAACCTTGCCATTTTTTGACATTTGTGGAAAAATAAAATTATTCTCTCCATTGCCCTTTCGATCACGGTTCAACGGCGCATTTTCGTATAGGTATGAGTTGATTTCAATCGGGCTATTTGGTTCACACTGTAGAATTTATGGTACGTTATTGTTCAGGGACACATGATGCCAGGTCACGACAAATGGCTGGCATCAGCATACGTTTTTCTGCCTCCTCAATAAATGAACTACCGCGGTAAAAGAAAAATCAGCTTTTATCATTTGAATCACCTTTTTTTTCATATCATTCAGAGGTCCATGAATAGCGAGTACTTCGCTCTAGGAAACAGGTGGCAGGAGGTGATTTTTTTCTAACTGATATGTCATTATGAACAATTGGTGAAGTTTCAGCTTTCATCATCATATGTAATATATCCACCTTAATCATTTGTTTGACATTTTTTACTATTGTTTTTTCAACAGTACATTGATAAGTTGCTGATAAGCGTTGCCTCTGCTGCTGCGCTCTCAGGAATTGATTTTATATCTCAAAGAAGGCACGTTGATATGACACGAAAATTTGTCGAAAAAAAGTTACTGTCTCACCAAGTATAAGGAATATGAAGTTTTTTTTTCGCAAAGACCTTTCAGGGAAACCCTCTGTGTACAGGGTGAGTCATGACTAACCAACCATAGCCCAGTGGCGAATAGAGGGAGTCAAAGGTGTGTTGATATTATATGTGAAAAAATATATTCTGCCTATTTGTATAACATAAATACCGGGCATTATTCAAATTCGGGGCGATATTTTGATGAACGATATTTCAGAAGTGTCTCGATATTATTGCCTGAAATTCACCAGCAACTTACCTCTACTGACACACTACACGATGGCCTACAATGGGAAAAAATCCAGGTCCGGACTTGAAAAATTCATTTTATTTATAAATGTCAAAATTTCGACATTCAGAATCAGAAATATCAGGAAACACACTATAATATAAGTGTAACTTTTCAATTTGTCCGGCACACTTCGATCGGGTTAGTGAAAAAATATCTAACAAAATACTGATGAATGATTCCATGATTTCGTACTGGCTATTTTAGTCACATCGTTCAACAAATTAACAAAGTATTATAAGGGTTGGAGAGAGTCTCTATAGGATGAAAAATTCCAGGACCAGACTTACTTTTCATGAAGAGACCTTTCAAAACATGGAAATAAGTACCAAATTTTCAGAAAAAATCCAATACCTATACCTCCTCTTCCTATCCTCCCTCTAAGTATATACGCACGATGTTCTTCGAACATTATAGGACTTTCCTTTCATGCGCTCCGAGAGATAAAAAATTATAAAAAATTATTGCTTTGGTAAAATATTTTTTCCGAAATAGATATAGTACGTGCCAACTCATACTACATAAAGAACATTTTGAGGTAATATTGAATATAATTTCATTGCATATGTAAACTCTCTCAATCAGCGGACCAATTCAGAATACACCACAAAAGGAGACTGCTGGTTAGCCATGACTGGCCCTGTATAAACTATCCTGACCATATCTTTGTATTAATTATTCCTCGCAATTTTTAAAAGCATGAAAGATTCGATCACAACGGGTGACACATCGTTTTCATCAGATAAATAATAACAATTTCCAAATATTCAAAAATACAGTTTATTAATATGGCGCCCATAACAAAATACTGATTCGAGTGTCGTCACTCTGAAATCAAAAGTGTCTCATAAAATACAAAGACGGATTTAGATCACAGAAGAATTTCGCCACATCGGGAACATCCTAGTAAAAAAATATTTTTGATTGATTGAAAAAGCATTGAGAACAAAAATAAGAAAAATCCGTTTTTCCATTCAATTCAAAAACTAACACTGACAATCAAAAATTTTTTTTCAGATGGTATAGGTATGCCTCATTTGTTCAGCATGAAAATGGGAAACTTTAGAGGTGAAACTAGAAAAAATAGTACCCTGTACATTTCAGTGTACCTATTTCATCCTCAATGGGGGAGACCATACTCTGATTTTTTGAAACGATACATTATCGTGAACTCAACACTGAAAAACTACCAGTGAATTGATTTTGAATTTTTCCATCCATGCTATATAAGACGATGACAAAAATAAATTAGAATATGTCCATTTCAGAACACACAATTCCTGCGCCATTTGAAATTTTGTCAATTCTTTGGTGAGACTGGTGCGACGTCTTAGTCCCAACACGCCTATTGTCCTTGAACTCACCAATCACACTGCAACCGCAGAGAGAGATAGCTACAGGGCGGGACTAATACGTCACAGCTCCACCATCATATTTGGCTTTTCGAAATAACGAATGAAATATCCTGATTTCAAAACGATATAGATTCGATTCCCTTCAACTTCAACTCATAATATTATGATTGTAGATCAAACGTAAATCATATTATTCGTCGATTTAAAGAGGTTTGCACGGATTTCTTCCCTCACTGCGGTCTTCATCCCCATTTATTGATTGCATACCAAACAAAGAATAAGATATAGGTAGGTCGCGCGAATAAAAAAAACAGTACTTTTATTCTAACAATCAACTTTAATGAAATATGAATCATTTTCATCCTTGGGATTTTGGCTTATCGGTATTTAGGTACTATGAATAATAAGGTAATACATAATATATAAAAAGAGCATTCTAATAACAGAGTTGGCTCTAATTAAAACAGAAGCATTCCTATAATATTAAGCAAAATATCATACCTATCATAGATTTGGACAATTTTTGTTGAATATGGAAAGGACTAATGCGTTGTTGCACGGCCATTCACATGAAAATTCTGAACTTGTTCAAAAATGTTCATCAAAACGCTCAGGAACAAAAAAAATGTGTTGCAAGTAACAACAATAAATATTTCATCATGATGCTTTTTGAAACTTCATTTTTGAAAATTATATCTATTTACGAATTTGGCTGACAAATGCAACTATGTAGTTTATTTTCAAAAAATAAAGATACAGTTGATCTCATATTCCAAAATAATCCACAATGAAAAATAGGCCTATCCTATAGGCTATATATAGAGTCATTCAATTGTATAGATCGAAAGCAGTTAACTGTTTTTATTTTAACTGCAAGTTACAAAACTTCTAAGCACGATTCATACAATTTTTTGAAGGTTTCTTGAAGGTAAAGGCAATTCAATTCTATACAGGGTGTATCTAAATAACACCGAAGAAATTCAAGGGGTGATTCCTTGTGATATTTTAGGAAATAAAGTTGATTTAAAGATGTGCCTTTACTTGCTTCCTTTTCGAGATACAGGGTATTATATTTCCATGGAAAATCTTTTTTTAGTTCATTACTCAATTGTCTTTCCATCAATTTCAGTAAAACGTTGTGGTTTTGTTAATATTAATATGGATCTTCTTCTGGTGCAATTAGATTCTAAATAATATTTCCATTGGCGTCACAGTGTGTAAATTTATCGATATTTATGGTAAATGTCATTGTACGCCACCGGTTTTTCTGAGTTTCATATTTTTATTAGATTGAACTATCGAAATAACAACTTTTTTATCCTTTGTGTAATTTTTGTATCCAGCTTAATTTTTGAGGAAACAATAAAAATTGGATTTGACTTCAAATTTTAATGTAGGCATGTATTTACTTTCATTGAGATTACTCAATAACCCCAATTAGAATCATTTTGAAATTTTGGGGCTTACTCGGTCTCCAACCATACTGAATTTTGGCACCATGAAAGCTTATTATACAGGGGGATTATAAATAAGAACAGTGAATACTTACAACTTCAACTTCCTGTATCTCAAAAACAGAGAAAGTTATAGGACACATGTTTATATGAACTTTATTTGCTAGAATATCACAAGCAATCACCCCTTGAACAAAAACAACGACGATATATAAGAAGATTATACGATAAGAGACAAAACACATTGCATCTAAAACAAAATCTCATCTCAAATATCATGAAATATTTATATATTCATATTCCTACAACTATTTTTTTTCATCCGAATGACTTTTCACTATTTCGATTTTTCTTCCGCACAAGTCTCGTCTAGCCACCGGACAGCTTTCTTCTTCAGATTCTGAGCTGTTGTCTTCAGAAGAAGAGTCTTTATAAAACCCCAGACCTGGAAGTATTGCCACACATTCGATAGTGGCGTTGGAGGGCATCATGGTGTCCCCTGGAATCGAATAATACAAAATTCACATTTCAAGTTTGAGTAGGAAAATACGGAAAATATTTGGCGAAAGTACCCAGCGAGCACAAACATCCCTGGGATGTTTTGGGATGTTTTGAAAATGTTGGCATGAAGATGTTATTTTGAGACGTAATATGCACTGACCAAAGAGGTCTTTGAAGGATATTGAAGTATTGTTTTTGTTCTTCTGTGGCATTTCTTTGTTTGCCTACTGAGAGGTATCCCTGGGATGTTTTGGGATGTTTTAGAAATGTAGGCATGAGGATGTTTTTTTGAGGCGTAATATGCACTTCCCAAAGAGGTCTTAGAAGGATATTGAAAGTATTGTTTTTGTTCTTTTGTGCCATTTCTTTGTTTGCCCCACCACAACGTCTCATGCTTACGTCACAATACGATGAATTCTGATTTGTTTTCGATTTTGTTCTTCTTGTTCGCAATTGGCATTCGCGTTTGCAGCGTGTCACGCTTACATCACGTTGCTAACGAACAGAAAGGAATTTGGTGAAGTTTATTGTGCTAGAAGACTTATTCAGTTTGTAATAATGACCATCAGATGCAAGATGTGTTGTTCGGTGCCTCAGTGTAATCAATATATGAAAGTACGAATTCATCAATACACAGCTTCTCCGCAGTTGCAAAATTATGCATTGTGGAGAACATTTCAAAAATTGGGAAACCTAATTCCAATTATATGTCTGTGTGTAGTAAGCACTACTCAGAAACCGATTAAGAAAGTAATTTCATATCAAGATAACATTTTTATGTTCAATCTATTTTTAATGCATTTTTTCATTCAAGGGAAATGGAATCCTAATGCAAAAGTTCATTTTGACAAAAGGCTTCAGAAAAGTACCTCGAAAATGGTTTTTTTAAAGCGATTTAATGTGCGCAAGACGCGTTGAAAATGTTTTGTTGTGTCCATGAAAAGGCTTTAAAAAGAACTAGGGAGACGGTAGTTTTGTGACATATCAAAGACATCTCGATAATGTCCGCCTGTGGCGGACATTAGCTGTTCTATAATAGTTCTATTCATGTGTGAACAGAACATCGCAGTGGAGGTTCAATGTCTCGAAATCTGGTACTTTTAACATCTCTGAGATGTTTTTGTGCTCGCTGGGAAGTATGGAAGATTTCCTATTGGAAGGTCATTATTATTATAGATATTGTCTCATAAAGTTATCAAAATTAATTGTACCAATAATGAGTTCAAAGAATTCATTTGGATAGTCCCGCATCAGGGATACCTGGACAGGGCTTCATGGAAATCATTGGGAGGTCCCAGAAACTAGTCCCAGATAGCACAATCCCAACAAACAATGAACTACCAGGATGTTATTGGCCCAATGCTTTCTTTGCTGGGGAAATGACTTCAACGGCAAAAATCTGTTGGCCTTTCACATTCTTGTAGTCAGTTCACCAGTGAAGCGAATAAGTATTGCTTTCATCGTTTTATTGAATTTGGTGTTGCCGGGAAAGACAACTTTTTTTTTTATCGCTTGGAGCGCACGGAAGGAAATCCCTATAATGTTCAAAGAACATCGTGCATTCCTAGTGAGGATGGGCTTCCTCACGCAATGAATTCCAACGCCTAGCCGTTCTATGGATGAAGGAGTTTTGATAAAGTGCTGTTCGACATCTTTCGAGGTTGACAACGAAAGGATGTGCTGACTGGGCTAGTCTCGTTCGTCTGACTGGTATTGCTAGTGAAGGGATGATAGCAGAGACTTCCGAAGAACATTTCCCGTGGAAGTATCCATAGAAAAGTGAAAGGTCGCCGACCTTTCTACGGTGTTCCAATGATGTCTTAAAGAATGCTGGGCATTTAACCATGCCTATATGTTCCAGATCTGTTGGCGTAGAACTTGATTTTTTAAATAATTGCACCTTCAAAAATTCTACGCCAATGGCAAAAAAGGGGTTTGAGTATGAAATTTGGATTTGGTACTCATTTACTACAAAAACGTACCCCTGATAACACTCGATTTACTCTCATGGTTTTGACAAAGTTTGTATTTATATAATTATTGTTCATGTTCTAAAATCACTAAAATGCAAATTTCGTCAAAACCATGAGAGCAATCGAGTCTTATCAAGAGTCCTTTTTTTAAAGTAATTGAGTTGCGCAATCTAAGTTTCATACTCAAACTCCGTTTCTTCCATTGGCGTAGAATTTTCAAAGGTGCAACTATTTAAAAAATCAAGTCCTACGCCTATGTATTAGTATCGGACAAAATTTTAACACCATTTTTTTTGCCACATAAAACTCTATCAATATACCAAATGTCAGCAAAATCGAATATGCCGTTTTAAATTTATATGGGAAAAACAATTTAAAAATTGTAACTTCAAGGCCCTCTGGAGCCCAAACGATGCAACTTTGTACCAAGGTAATTTTACTTAAATCGACTTATTTTGGTCTAAGGAATATGTGGTATGTTTTTGTAAAGACCTTTTACAGACACCCTGTATATTCTGAGCTGTCTGGGTCATAGTAAAACATTGGGAATTCCTAGGAAATCGGAATTCATAGTAATGAATTGAAATGGGACTTAAATGGGATACAAGTTTAAATGGGAGAATTAAAGGGGAAGGGATTTAAATGTAATTGGGATGTTACAAGATATAATTAGATACTGATCTATGTCAATGAGGATTCTAAGTAAGTTATAGTTATTCCAAAAATTCACAGAAATCATTGGTAAAGTTTATGCAAAGTCAGTTGAACAGATCATCAAACGAATGTCTGGCCACACTGCCGCACTCTTTGAACTTTCAAAGGGACCGACGGCTTGCCCTGATGTGTTTTCCAACTAACTTTGCATAAACTATAATCCCTGGTATTTCTCGGATTGGATAGTACCAGAAAAATAATAAAAATAATTGAATACTCCTAAAAATTCATGAAAATCCGTGAAAATCATTGAACATTGACAAACCATGAAGCCATGGTACCTAACCATTGAATATTCCTAGGAGTTTATGAAAATCAATTGGGTAGTCACATATAAATTTATGGGAAATCTTTGGGTAGTCCCAGAGGTCATGAAAACTTATTGAATATGTCTATCACAGTCCTATGTGTTCTTGGAGGTTCATATATTATGAATAAATCAAAAATAAAGAAATTATAACTGGTAGAGAAGTCCCAGAAAAATAAGTCAGGTTGATTGTCAAATCATTCAGTAATATGTTTTCTTTTCCTGAGGTATCATGGAAATTCATTGAGAAATCCCTCTGGAAATGTAGGTATGTGTATTTGCATAATAATTCAGAGAAAGCAGAAAGTTCAATCCAATGTTAGTTTGTTCTCCAAACTGCTGAGCATTTGTAGAGCTCTTTCCAATGGAAAAATAACAATTTGCAACTGGTTTCACAATGGAATATAAATAATAATATTAATTATATCATAATCATCATGTTATGTATTCTCAAATGAATATTTATATTCCTTCAAGAACATCATAAAAAAAACAAATGTAATCTCAAATGAATATTTATATTCCTTTAAGAATATCATGAAAAAAAAAAACAAATGTGAGTCCAACATTATTTATATTATGTACCCCAAAATAAGATATAATGGGCCTAACAATCTAACACAGAATGAACTTGCTGGCTTGCTTCATTTGGATAAAAAACTTTTACCAGGATTTGGCTCATTTTTCTTATCTTCTGTCTTATTATCCATGGCCTGGGAACTTTCATCACCTTCATTCACTTTCCTCTTTTTGTTTTCATTCTTCTTTATTACAACACCCTTCAATAACTTCTGCTGTGAATTCACATTGTTAGTGTGAATTTTTCTCTTGGCAACCACAATGTCTGTCTGGAGCCTTTCATCAATGGACTTTTCTTGTAAGATAGATACTTGGTTTCTATAATCATGTAGTTCTTTTTCCTCTTCCAACTCTTTTTTGCGATTTGCTTCTATTTTTGTGCGATCTACTAGATCAAGGAACTCAATTTCATCATCATCAAGCCCTTTTATCATGTTCTCTGAAAACAAAAAAGGAACATTGTGAAATAGCTTCAGATGCAACTTCAGTCAAAATTATTGAACATACTCAATTTGTGGGCTTCTTCATACTCCAAATCTCTTTTCTGTTTCTGGTCCTGTAATTTTTCAAATAGACTCCTGTTGTCATATTGTTCTTCTGGGCGAACTGAAATCAATATGCTTTTTGAAGCAAATTTTGTTCAGGATAACTCAAAACAACGGGATTAATGTTGATGAATTATTCACTGACCTAAAGGATCTGAAGGTTTTCGAACCTTTTCCCATTCTTCTTGCCTTGTTTTTCTTATTTCTGCTGCCTCAGATTCGGTTATGAATCCGGAACTCATGATAAATGTGAATAATGTGATGATAACGATGATATAGAAAATGTGTGCTATCAAATATTCGAGTCCCTATTACTTGCAATAAATAGTAATCAAAATTTTTTCTATAATAGTGTTTGTTTGCATATCATTTCATTTATTTTTGATTTTGACTGCCACTTTTGACAGTTCTAACCTCTTCTCACTTCACTCATCTCACTTCACTCTTCTCAGTTCTCACTTCTCTGTCAAGATCGCCCTCTGTCATGGAAAATACAAAGTGAGCAGTCACCTGTCATGTGTCTGTCTGCTGTCCTCCACCTTTTCCGTTTTGGTTTCCCGCTGCCGTGATTCCATTGATTCCACCCCACCATAATTGCACCACAGATTCTGACATTTATGACTATGTATTCTGTGATTTTTGTGCATTGTTGTGTTATGTGTTATTTAATACATGTATCTATTATTTAATATTATAACGGCAACGCTGTTGTGTTGTGTTGCTGGTTGCTTGGTGGTTACTGTTACGGCGTATTCGTTTTGGGTTTTTTTTGAGAAAATTGAAAATTCATCAATATCGGCATGTGGTATTTTACTTAAAATTTTCATGAACATTGAATCTGTGTAGCAAGGGTAAGTTGTCCTTCTATATTTCCATATTTGAAGCTTAAAAAAACAATGCTTTGTATGGTCAACAATGGTAGATTTGTGTTTGTGCCATTTCAGCAGAAGAGTTTTTTGAATCATACCTAGTTAAAACAGATTCGTATCTTATTATACATACTTGTACTGTAATATTGGTTATATGAAATAAGTTATTGCTATTTATATACAGTGTCCCAATAAAGATACAGCAAGTTTCTACAAAAATCATGGTTGAATAGTAGACACAGTTCAGGTAGGTAGGTCAAATGTTGAAATCAGAATATTAGGGGTAGTTTCATTTATATTATTATATTATCATATAAAACTACATACCACAGATTACCCCTGCCGCTGCAATGCCCTGTGCTTTTCCCAAGATGTTTTATTCCATGTTTTATTTCTAGATTGAAGGTTCCCATACTTTAGGGTCTTTCTGTATTATTCATTTTAATGTATTTGTTGATAATAAATACATTGGAATTATTGATGGTTTGATTAATGAGTACCCCCTTCCCCCCCTAATGAAAATGTTGATTCTGGTTTCTCTATTTGAAGCTTGATAAAGTACCTACCTATTATCATTTTTAGTTTTGGTTAATCTGGCTGTACTCATCAATTAGATCTCTACAATGAATAAGCTACTGGCAGATTTGGCAAAAAAGCCCATTGTCCCAACAGGGTTGGTCAATGGGCTACTAGCACCAGACATGAATGATGAATTCAGTTCCACAGATGAGGAGGAATATGAATATGAAAATTATGAGCAAGACTATGTCAGGAAGGAAATGAAAAAATATGCCACATCAGGGACACAAAAAACTGTGAGTACTTCCATTGAATAACTAAACAGCCTTATTAAAAACTTCATTCTTTGGACACAGTTCTTTTTTTTTCTGTGAACAGTGCTTGGAACTCATATTTTTTCTCTAGTACAGAAAATCTGGGTTATTCAAAATTGTGTGACCATTTGGACATATTTGAATTAGGAGATAATGTTTAATTATGCTATAATGAATATGAACCTTCAGCTGCAGCACTAGGGTTTCTATCCCACAATGAAAAAATTGCCCACACCCATCTCAATAGACTTCCTAAAATTGGATTGTTGGTTAAGCTTAGTAAATTTCAAGTGTTGCATCAATTTTTCTGGTCAGTTCATTTTGTTATCAACTGAAAACAAATGAACATACATGCTTATTCCTTTGAATTACTGAAAGCAAAAAAAAAATAAGCATTAGGTATCAAATTTTACATGAAGGCACATTATTCAATAACAAGTTTATTTATATTTTTCAGAATTATGGTAGTATGTCTGAAGTGGAAGGAGTTGAAGGTATTGAATATAAAAACAATCCATTGAATGTCTACTCCAACTACAATTTCAATACAACTTTTGTGAAGAAAGAATTGCCTATTGATTCTTTCCGGGAAAAAGTAAGTAAAATGTTTTTGGATATTTTTAATTATCAATAAATTCAAAATATAGGTAGGTCAGTTCTCTACAAATTATATAAGAGAAAAGTTGAAGTGCAAACAAAATTATTCCAATGTTATTTACTAGGGGAAACAGACAAAATTCACACTAAAGTTTGAAATGAATATCCTCATTTTTAAGTCTTTATTGACTTCTACATTGTCCTTTGAAATAAAAACCTAGTAGATGAGGTATAATATTGTCTGACCACAACTCTTTTGCTATGAAGTCAATGGAACATTATATTATGTTGAAGTCAAAACAATGTGTACTTTTTAGATACAGAAGACATTATTGTACATACAGGGGGATTTAATAGGCCACACATTAGAATTTTTCCAATTCACAGTTGGTTTGAAAAATTGGAATCCTGTGATAATCATTCATTTCCACTTTTCCCGAAATATTTTTAGTACTCCAGCTATACAGGGTGCGCCAAAAGTTGGTACCAACTTACTTATTTTGAATATACAGTGTGTCCCACTTACCATGCTCACCATGGGTATCTTTTTAACAGTGAGAGATACGAGGTCTGTTAAATGACACCAAATGTGGAGTTTGTCAAGGCCAACTATAATGTGTAAAAATATTTTGATAAAATCTATTTGTTTTTGTTTTACATATATGCCAAAAACATATTTTGATCATTTTCATGTCTCCTCAGTAACTTCTTTATTTATGAGAATATTCAAATAGGAATTGCATATTCTATTCTCATGGCAGTTTTTCAAAGTGATTTCGAAAAGAATATGAAATTTATACCAACTTTTCTAGAATTTGAGATATCAGCACCAACTTTAGTTTTTCAAATGTAGTTTATAGCTCACTATGACTTACTTACAAATAACTTTTTTTTCTCTTACAGATGATATGTCGCAGTAATAGTTTTGTGTTGATAACAACGGAGTTATCGTCATTTATACAAGAACAAAAAATTATTTGGGCCGCCATCTCGAATTTATAAATTTTAACAAAAAAATCATGATCTCCGACCTCAAAAACCCCCACTTAACAATTTTGAATGGAATCGGACCAAATTTTGTCCGCCATCTTGGAGCAGCCATTTTTTTTTAACTTCAACAAAAATTCCATAACTCCGATTGACTTGAAATTTGGCAGGTGTTCATAATTTCGGTGACAATACATTATGGAATTTTTGTTGAAGTTAAAAAAAATGGCTGCTCCAAGATGGCGGACAATATTTGGTCCGATTCCATTCAAAATTGGTAAGTGGGGATTTTTGAGGTCGGAGATCATGATTTTTTTGTTAAAATTTATAAATTCAAGATGGCGGCTTCCAAATAATTGTTTGTTTTTGTATAAATGATGATAAATCTGTTGTTATCAACACAAAACTATTACTGCCACATATCATCTGTAAGAGAAAAAAAAGTTATTTGTTACTAAGTCATAGTGAGCTATGACCTACATTCGAAAAACTAGAGTTGGTGCTGATATCTCGAATTCTAGAAGAATTGGTATAAATTTCATATTTTTTTCGAAACCACTTTGAAAAACTGCCACGAGAATGTGAAATTCCTATTTGAATATTTTCATAAATAAAGAAGTTACGGAGGAGACATGAAAATGATCAAAATCTGTTTTTTGCGTATAAAACAAAAACGAATAGATTTTATCAAAATATTTTTTCACACTATAGTTGGCCTTGACAAACTCCACATTTGGTGTCATTTAACCGACCTCGTATCTCTCACTGTTAAAAAGATACCCATGGTGAGCATGGTAAGTGGGACATACTGTATACCTAATTTTATTTCACACAGTTGGATTGGCCAGATTGGCCTTCTAATTCTGAGTGTGAGAAACCTAATTTTTGTCAAATTTTCTAACACAGTTTTCGAGATGAGTCGATTTTTATGAAAAACCCACCACCATAGTAGTTTACACACTGAAATAAATAAAAATTAAAAAAAAAGTAGGTATACAGGATGATTCACGGTGCATGGCACATTGGACGTTTCTGGAGAACGCAACTCTGAATTATTCTAAAAAGTTAGTGCCTTGGATAATTAGTTGTGTTCTATGGACCCACAATATTCTCAGTGTTGCGACGTTGCCGCTTATATGGAAAAGTAGCAACAACTTTGATTTTTTGAAGGGGACACCCTGTATATTATTCCATTTTCAGATTCTCCCTGAAGAGCTGATTTCATCGATCCCTCACACTTGGGGTCTAGCGGAAATAATAACAAAGATATAGGGTGTTGAAAATCAAAATTTTTCAACTTTTAGAATGTTTTGTGTCAAAACTATCCATTATTGGTCAAAACGGTTTCCATGTCCCTATCTTAACTTTTTATATACTATCAATTGATATTTAATCGAAATAGATACAGGGGTGGTCAAAAAATTCTGAACTACCTTGTATTTATTTCAATTAAATATCAATTGATAGTGAACAAAATGTTGGGATAGGGACATGAAAACCGTTTTGACCAATGATGAGTAGTTTCGACCCAAAAAATTCCTAAAGTTGAAAAATCTCGATTTTTCACATCCTATAACTCTGTATTTATTACTGCTTGACCCCAAGTGTTATAGGTCAATGGAATCAGCTCTTCTGGGAGAATCTCAAAATGGTCTTCCCCATAGGAAAACTCCCAATGCGTGGCCTACGTAAATCACCGTGTATATTTTATTGTTCTGAGAACGAGCTATACAGTGACATTCCCTTTCCAGATATTAAATTTAGTGGAAGTTAACAACGTGCTGATCATCCAAGGTCCTACGGGTTGCGGCAAGACGACTCAAGTGCCGCAATACGTTCTCGATTATTGTCGAGAGAAATCGGAGTATTGCAATATAGCCGTTACGCAACCGAGGAAGATTGCCACCATCAATGTGGCTAAAAGGGTTTGCGAGGAACGAGGGTGGACCCTTGGAACAGTGTGCGGATATCAAGTACGTGAAAAATCTTTTGAAGGATTTCGATACAGACAATTTAATTCATTTTTTGAATTGACTCGGCCGTTACTTGATGAAAATCCATGGCAGATGTAAAATAATAATAATAATAAGTAAGTTTATTAACCACGGAACGGAATCTCAGCATAGAGGACAGGACAAAGATAAGTAAAACATCTTTGAGAGACCGTTTTTCTGGTTTTGGGAATAAGTGTTGATTTTGATTTATACCGGGTATTATGTCTATGAAAAATTTGTTGAGCCTTATGTTTGAATTTGTGGTGTCTTATCATTAAGGACTGAAAGTAAAGTTGTCTAATATCTAAGACTTGCGCTTCTCCAAAAAGTTGTTTGCTAGGGTGCCTATATGGTTTTTTGAAAATTATTTTTAGCAGCCATTTTTGGGTGACTTCCAATTTCTTCAGATGATTATTTTTTATTCCTCCCCACGTGAGTAGGTATACCATAAGTGATGTGTGTTTGTACTGGAGAGGAATATAGTATTTTCAGAAATCTCATATCAAATATTTTTCTGTAAAATCTGAATCTGTGTAGAAGTCCTCTAAGCTTTTTTGTCACGAATGCAGCATGATGATCCCATCTCAGATGACAATCAATGATTATACCTAGATATTTAGTTTTATTTTCCATCGGTATAGCAATTGTTTTGTTATGAGAGATGATGAAATGTAATCTTTCAAATTCAGACATCGTATTTACTGTGCTACAAAAGGGAACTATTACTGTTTTTTTAAAATTGACGCTGAGTAACATGGAATTGAACCAATTTATTACATTAATGAAATCATATTCCACTAGAGTTTTCAACTCTTCCCAAGAGGAATTTTTGTAGAAGATAACCGTATCGTCAGCAAAGCTGACAATTTCGCCTTGGATCTCGAGACTAAACAATTGATTGAGGTATATGTTAAAGAGAAGTGGACCTAGTACTGTACCTTGAGGTACTCCATATTTTACTATGTGTTCACTACTCAAGGAATCTCCAATTCTCACCGACTGTTTCCTGTTCGACAAATAGCTTGATAGTAATTCAAATGCTTTACCTCGAATTCCAATATTCTCCAGTAGTCGTAGCAATTTTTCATGAGAAACAGTGTCGAACGCTTTTGCCAGATCAACGAAGATACATAAGGATCGATTACCTTCATCCATTGCTTGATATATTTTTGAAATTATGTGTGCCATTGCATCTTCGGTTGATGCGATAAACGATATAATTTTCACAAAATTAGGCACAATATCTACATTAAAATATGAGGCCTTTTCGTTTGTGCTTGCTCTACCTGCTGAACTTGATTTTTTTCTATGACTCTCTGTTTACATCATGCCATGAACAGAAACAACTATGGGAAAATAAACAGCTTTAGCAAGTTTAGCAATACAAACGAACATGCCTATGGTGTACCGGAGTAACTTGAAAGGGTTGATAGCAAATACATATTAGTACCTACTAAAGAAACAAATTCAACAGTGGTGAACTATTGAGATCTAATTGATCGTTAAGTAAAATGTCAGAATTTTTGAGTTGGTTTGTTTGTTGAGTTGTTCATTCCTTTATTTTCTACGTGTAGAATTTAGAAATTATCATCAAAACTATGGTTTTCTTCTAATATATGGTTGGCGTAAGTTGAATTTGTTTTCTTTTTCAAGAAATTCACCTTATGTTCCTGAATACGCTGATTGAACGTTCGACCTGTCAAAACTATGAATATTTCGAAATTCCACATGTAGAAAATGAAGGAATGAAACTCAATCATTTTGAATCATTAGAAATCAACAAACTAAAAAATTCTGACATTTTACTTAACGATTAGTTAGACCTCGATAGTTCACCACTGTTGAATTTGTTTTCTTAGTAGGTAATAATATTTATTTGCTATCAACCCTTTCGAGTTAATCCAGTATACCGTAATTTAATGTAGATATTGTGCCTAATTTCCGAAAATGGAGGTTTATCTATCCTGTCCACAGGTAATTAATCCTTCAAGTTGAGATAGTAGGATATATAAAAGTTAAGCAAGCCAACGTTGGTTTAGTTCATTGTACCAGTATATCACCTGACGAAGCTACTGTGTTAGCAAAAACATGTTGTGTGTTTAAGAATTTTGTGGAAATCTTATCGTTTGTGAAGTTTTCACATTTGCCATGGATTTCCATCAAGTAACGGCCAAGTCAATTCAAAATAGGAACGTAACTGTTTGCAAGTGGATTAACTTTTATTTACCTCACGTTTTCAGGCATTTTTACAATTTTCCGGAATTTTTGCAATTTCTGCAATTTTCAGGCTTTTTTGCGATTTTTGCAATTTTCAGGAATTTTTGCAATTTTTGCTATTTCTGCAATTTCCAGGAATTTTTGCGATTTTCAGGAATTTTTGCAATTTTCAGAAATTTTTCTAATTTTCAGGAATTTTTGCAATTTTTGCTATTTCTGCAATTTTCAGGAATTTTTGCAATTTTTGCAATTTTCAGGAATTTTTGTGATTTTTGCATTTTCAGGAATTTTTGCGATTTTTGCAATTTTCAGGAATTTTTGTGATTTTTGCATTTTCAGGAATTTTTGCTATTTTCAGGAATTTTTGCTATTTTCAGGAATTTTTGCGATTTTTGCAATTTTCAGTCATTTTTGCGATTTTTGCAATTTTCAGGAATTTTTGCGATTTTTGCAATTTTCAGGAATTTTTGTGATTTTTGCAATTTTCAGTCATTTTTGCGATTTTTGCAATTTTCAGGAATTTTTGCGATTTTTGCAATTTTCAGGAATTTTTGTGATTTTTGCATTTTCAGGAATTTTTGCGATTTTTGCAATTTTCAGGAATTTTTGCTATTTTCAGGAATTTTTGCGATTTTTGCAATTTTCAGTCATTTTTGCGATTTTTGCAATTTTCAGGAATTTTTGCGATTTTTGCAATTTTCAGGAATTTTTGTGATTTTTGCAATTTTCAGTCATTTTTGCGATTTTTTGCAATTTTCAGGAATTTTTGCGATTTTTGCAATTTTCAGTCATTTTTGCGATTTTTGCAATTTTCAGGAATTTTTGCGATTTTTGCAATTTTCAGGAATTTTTGCTATTTGCAGGAATTTTTGCGATTTTTGCAATTTTCAGTCATTTTTGCGATTTTTGCAATTTCCAGGAATTTTTGCGATTTTTGCAATTTTCAGGAATTTTTGCGATTTTTTGCAATTTTCAGGAATTTTTGCGATTTTTGCAATTTTCAGGAATTTTTGCGATTTTTGCAATTTTCAGGAATTTTTGCTATTTTCAGGAATTTCCGTGATTTTTGCAATTTTCAGTCATTTTTGCGATTTTTTGCAATATTCAGGAATTTTTGCGATTTTTGCAATTTTCAGGAATTTTTGCAATTTTTGCAATTTTCAGGAATTTTTGCTATTTTCAGGAATTTTTGTGATTTTTGCAATTTTCAGTCATTTTTGCGATTTTTGCAATTTTCAGGAATTTTTGCGATTTTTGCAATTTTCAGGAATTTTTGCGATTTTTGCAATTTTCAGGAATTTTTGCTATTTTCAGGAATTTTTGTGATTTTTGCAATTTTCAGTCATTTTTGCGATTTTTGCAATTTTCAGGAATTTTTGCGATTTTTGCAATTTTCAGGAATTTTTGTGATTTTTGCATTTTCAGGAATTTTTGCGATTTTTGCAATTTTCAGGAATTTTTGCTATTTTCAGGAATTTTTGTGATTTTTGCAATTTTCAGTCATTTTTGCGATTTTTGCAATTTTCAGGAATTTTTGTGATTTTTGCAATTTTCAGGAATTTTTGTGATTTTTGCAATTTTCAGGAATTTTTGCGATTTTTGCAATTTTCAGGAATTTTTGCGATTTTTGCAATTTTCAGGAATTTTTGTGATTTTTGCATTTTCAGGAATTTTTGCTATTTTCAGGAATTTTTGTGATTTTTGCAATTTTCAGTCATTTTTGCGATTTTTGCAATTTTCAGGAATTTTTGCGATTTTTGCAATTTTCAGGAATTTTTGCTATTTTCAGGAATTTTTGTGATTTTTGCAATTTTCAGTCATTTTTGCGATTTTTTGCAATTTTCAGGAATTTTTGCGATTTTTGCAATTTTCAGTCATTTTTGCGATTTTTGCAATTTTCAGGAATTTTTGCGATTTTTGCAATTTTCAGGAATTTTTGCTATTTTCAGGAATTTTTGTGATTTTTGCAATTTTCAGTCATTTTTGCGATTTTTGCAATTTTCAGGAATTTTTGCGATTTTTGCAATTTTCAGGAATTTTTGCGATTTTTGCAATTTTCAGGAATTTTTGCTATTTTCAGGAATTTTCGTGATTTTTGCAATTTTCAGTCATTTTTGCGATTTTTGCAATTTTCAGGAATTTTCGCGATTTTTGCAATTTTCAGGAATTTTTGCAATTTTTGCAATTTTCAGGAATTTTTGCGATTTTTGCAATTTTCAGGAATTTTTGCTATTTTCAGGAATTTTTGCGATTTTTGCAATTTTCAGGAATTTTTGCTATTTTCAGGAATTTTTGCGATTTTTGCAATTTTCAGTCATTTTTGCGATTTTTGCAATTTCCAGGAATTTTTGCGATTTTTGCAATTTTCAGGAATTTTTGCTATTTTCAGGAATTTTTGTGATTTTTGCAATTTTCAGTCATTTTTGCGATTTTTGCAATTTTCAGGAATTTCTGCAATTTTCAGGAATTTTTGCTATTTTCAGGAATTTTTGTGATTTTTGCAATTTTCAGTCATTTTTGCGATTTTTGCAATTTTCAGGAATTTCTGCAATTTTCAGGAATTTTTGCTATTTTCAGGAATTTTTGTGATTTTTGCAATTTTCAGTCATTTTTGCGATTTTTGCAATTTTCAGGAATTTCTGCAATTTTCAGGAATTTTTGCTATTTTCAGGAATTTTTGCGATTTTTGCAATTTTCAGTCAGTCATTTTTGCGTTTTTCGCAATTTTCAGGAATTTTTGCGATTTTCAGGAATTTTTTTGCTTTTTGCATTTTCAGGAATTTTTGCGATTTTTGCAATTTTCAGGAATTTTTGCAATTTTCAGGAACTTTTGCGATTTTTGCAATTTTCAGGAATTTTTGCTATTTTCAGGAATTTTTGCGATTTTTGCAATTTTCAGTCATTTTTGCGATTTTTGCAATTTTCAGGAATTTTTGCGATTTTTGCAATTTTCAGGAATTTTTGCTATTTTCAGGAATTTTTGTGATTTTTGCAATTTTCAGTCATTTTTGCGATTTTTGCAATTTTCAGGAATTTCTGCAATTTTCAGGAATTTTTGCTATTTTCAGGAATTTTTGCGATTTTTGCAATTTTCAGTCAGTCATTTTTGCGATTTTTACAATTTTCAGGAATTTTTGCGATTTTCAGGCATTTCTGCAATTTTTGCAATTTTCAGGAATTTTTGCGATTTTTGCAATTTTCAGGAATTTTTGCTATTTTCAGGAATTTTTGTGATTTTTGCAATTTTCAGTCATTTTTGCGATTTTTTGCAATTTTCAGGAATTTTTGCGATTTTTGCAATTTTTCTCATTTTTGCGATTTTTGCAATTTTCAGGAATTTTTGCGATTTTTGCAATTTTCAGGAATTTTTGCGATTTTTGCAATTTTCAGGAATTTTTGCGATTTTTGCAATTTTCAGGAATTTTTGCAATTTTCAGGAATTTTTGCTATTTTCAGGAATTTTCGTGATTTTTGCAATTTTCAGTCATTTTTGCGATTTTTGCAATTTTCAGGAATTTTTGCGATTTTTGCAATTTTCAGGAATTTTTGCAATTTTTGCAATTTTCAGGAATTTTTGCGATTTTTGCAATTTTCAGGAATTTTTGCTATTTTCAGGAATTTTTGCGATTTTTGCAATTTTCAGGAATTTTTGCTATTTTCAGGAATTTTTGCGATTTTTGCAATTTTCAGTCATTTTTGCGATTTTTGCAATTTTCAGGAATTTTCGCGATTTTTGCAATTTTCAGGAATTTTTGCTATTTTCAGGAATTTTTGTGATTTTTGCAATTTTCAGTCATTTTTGC